CCCAAATACTAGTAGATATAATGTTTAGCTGAGCTGTTAAGACACCAAGAGGTATCAAAGATATAAACTCCTGTCATATTTACTACCTACATACATTAGTAAAGCTACCAGCTGCACCCGTGCCCGAGACGCGCTTCGTCTTGATACTAGTATAGTATTATATTATCTGTGGTCTCGGTAAGTCATTATAACTATAATTACTCGTGGTTTTTAAAATTATATATCTAGTAAATAAGCAAGTTCTTTTTTTCTTTTATATAGCACTATATATTAGCTGTATTCCACTATTTCTCTCACATAAATTAGAATAAAAGTGTCGTGTGTTAAATAATCTACGATGACCTACCAAACATTGAATTCCATTCATCAGTGTATGAGTACCATACCTGTAAACATCTTTGCATACTTTCATACTTATAATATTAGATGGATCCTCACGAACAGATCGTATGATCTTGGCCATATATCTTACTGAAACAAAAAAAAATCAATACAAGTTGCGACCAAGATTTTCGGCGGAAACGAATTTGAGTCGCACTCATGTATTCCCAACACGTCTCAGGCACATTGTCAGCGTGTCTGTAGGTATTATCTGTAATGAAGGACGGTCCTTTGTGAAGTAAATCCTTGCATGAAAAGTTTTGAAAAGTATTCAGTTATTTATTTATGCTTCACTTTCTTTGACTTCTGGTCTATAGCTCAGTGGAAGGAGATGCCCATTAACGCAAATGTCGGTCGTATCAATTATTTATTACCTACTGTATTGGTTTATTCAACTTGACAATGAAATTGTAAGATATAGAAGGATAACATCTTAGTCCTCAAGAATGGCAACGCGTAAGGGATGGCATTGGTCTAATCCTGTGAAGGTTAGCTATTAGTTCATATATATAGGCGACGGTTATTATTTGAGAGAGTGGGATTGTTAGTAATGGGGACGGATAACCTCATTATATACCGTATCAATATAACCTCCACACGGTCCCTCTTAAAACTACCATGATTAATTCCTAATGAATATATGAAGATTTTTTTACACAACTTAGAATGGCAAACAAGCTGACGGCCAACCTGATGGAAAGTGGTAACCATCACCTATAGACATGAGCAATACTTTAGACATAACGGAGTATATTATTTCGTCCATGATACCCCCATGCGTTGCCATTTCTGAGGACTCGGGTGTTATTCCTCTGTTCCCTGTAAATTAACATTATTATTACATTATTACAAATTAACATTAAATTAAAATAACGTGCAGTTTCGTCATAGAATAGGCCACCCTTTCCTTTCCCGTGGGTGAATAGATATATGTATCTAACTGTCGAGACTTTTCTAAGAGACAACAGCATGGATTTTTTCAAAAAAAAAGAAAATAAGGGAGAGATTTCTTCAATGTCGGTAACGCGCGCTACGGTAACCGCTTACTATCTGTATACTATAGGTAGACCGTATGCTTGTTTGCCACTTTAATGGTATAAAAAAATTAGTAATAAATCAATATATATATCAATTATAGTTTTTGAAAAATATTATTATTAAATAACAGTAAATATAGTGAATTAATATCCAATAAGATTGAAAAGTTATTGAATCAAAAAAACAATCATAATTTCCTCAGATAAGCTAATAAATACTATGTCATTTGTTTGTCTTGTTTTTGGGCTGTATCCGAACACTGTCACGAACCGTGACAATATTTGACAACTCTATGAATCGAGTTGTTTTATATTATTTTATCCACTTCAATAGGTATTGTTCGCGAAAACAAATAAATCATAGAAAACTAACGTCGGGTCAGTCAGTCAAGCATTGTTCTGTCGAAATTCCTTTTTTTGTAACGTAAAAGCTTTTTTTACATATTTTTTTTTTATTCGTATATACTATTATAAAAATTAAAAAAAAAAGGATTAAAAATCTACCCTTACAAAAGTTACTTGATTTTAGAAATGGGCATTTAGCACATCTATTACTTATGCATACAATGTGAATGCCGGATTCAGAAAGAGTTCTTGGCAATTTTACTAAATTAGATGTTAATTTATCCGTGTGGTTCCGGCATAGGTCATTCCTTCTTTTCCCGTGGGTGTCGTAAGAGGCGAATAAGGAGGGCAAGGCAGCATCTCTCTTAACATATCTAGCTAGCCTAACTACGGTTGCCAGGGGGAAAGGGATTGTTAGTAATGGGGTTTAACAGGCCCATTGCTAGCAATACCTCTATCGACCTTCACGCGGTTCCCCCTGGAAACCATAATGGTTAATTCTTGTTTGTCACTACGGGCCAACTGACCTGCCTTCATCCTCACCTGTCGCTCTTCACTGGTGCCCCGCGAGCGTATACCGATAGCGCATGTGGGGTTACCATTCCATTTTCACTCACTTCCACACTCACTAAAAAAAATTGTGGTTTCCAATCCGCTTGCCAAGCGTGGCAACTACTAACAAAACCCCCCAAGAGGAAGGTAGCAGTGGACAGTTAAAGGCTGATATGATAAGATGTTAATTAAACAAACTTAATCAATGTTTGGCAATTCCTATGGGAACGGTAGGAACACAGGTTTTAACGCGGAAATCACCTAATACCAGATAAGTAGGGGGGAAAGGGATTGCTAGTAATGCGGATTATCAGTCCCATTGCTAACAATATACCCTTACAGGTCGACCTCCCCGTGGTCCTCCCTGGAAACCATCGTGCTGAATTCTAAGTGTATTTATCACGATAAGCTAACTGGCCTGTCTTTTCATCCTCACCTATCATCCCGCACTGGTGCCCCGCCAGCGTATACCGTTAGCACAGGCGGGGTTACCATTTCATTATCATTCATAAAAAAAAATACCAGATAAGTAAATAAAAGTACCATCATCATTATTACGACAGTCTTTATTGTTATTTTAAGTAGATTATTATAGTTAGACCAATCTACAGTAACTAGTTATAAAACATTCTAACAAAAAAGAAATATGGAATGGTAAAGAAACTATAATAACAAATGGATATCCTTTAAATACAGTGTTAAGATTGGTGAGAAACAAATCTATTTGTAAATACGTTTATATGTATGCGCTTGCACACAGGCGTGAACAAGATGCCGGGCATACTGTCTCGCCCTATCTCACGCATGTGGTAAGATAAGCGTATCTACAATAAACATTTGTCTGTCACGTTTCTATCATGGATAGTCCCCGCATACGTTCCAAGTCAGCCATCTGACTCACATTGACGTTGTTACATTAAAAAAGCAAAGCCCGCATTGTTATAAATAATAGAATTCAATTTAAATATATGTATAAAAAGCAACAATATTTTCTAATCTAGATTCGTTTTAAAAATGGCATAATTTTTGGGAAACCTTTTAAAAACAAAGTTAATTCCACAATACACCATGTTAGTAACAAATTGGAATAAATACACACTAATGTAGGATGCATTAAACATTATGACAACAGAATATAAATATACAGTGAACCGACTTGGACTGTGGGTTCTCAAACCCACTAAAAATAGGATATTTTTCATCAGAATGGCTCATATAAATAATGCAATCTCTTATTACGTTAGCCACTAACACTTTCTATTATACTGCAACCTTTTTCAATAGAAACAACACATTATATTTCTTCGCTAACACTAATATGCTAATATCACCTATGTCGTCTAACCTACTTTAGCTATTGAACTGTTTTGTCTCTATTTTTCACACTAAATTCCCAATTTGAAAGATAGTGAAATAAAGACAAAAAAAACAGTAGAAGAAGATTTTAAAAGATTGTAGGTTTTATAAATGAAGGGATAAAAATACAATAACAAACAATGAAATTTCGAACTAAATGAACCCAATTTGATAATATGGCAATCAATTCTAGATAAAGATTTCGAAACGTTACAATTCCAAAAATGGTCCCAAATATCTAAATGGATTGTACAAAATTTAAACTGACTTTGTAAGTCAAATAATGCGGTAAAAATTTCGCTTTGTATTTGCCTAGTCTCCAAAATTTTTTAAGTCAAAGGAGAGACAATTAATCAGGTCATAATATAACCTCTAAAATTACATAAAAATTACACAAGTATACAACTTAAAATAAAAATTGTCGCAAAGTATTTACTTTATATATTTATATCTATAGTCCAAAAATTGCAATAATAATAGAAAACGTCATTGACTAAATGCATTCAAGGCTATAAACAGTGCCACAAAATTAAAAACGTCCTAGGACAACTTTTCATATAAAATTATATTTTTTAAATAAAATACAACTGTTACTATGTCGTTACTCGTTGATAATGTAACTTTCTATAGAAAATATCTATAAAAACGATTGAACATTTTTACATTACAAACAAAATATCATTATTTTCATTTTTACTATATTAATTTAGAAGATTTATGGAGTAGACAAAGCTAGAATAAAAAAAAAAATTAATTACGTACTTGTAGCACTGCAATAACCTTGTCAAGCTGCATATTGAAGTATATCACAAAAAAACTTAATTATAAATTTAAATCAGCTATCGGTGAGCTAATTGTGAGAAAGCCTCTTATAAATATGTGTAATATTAATTACATTTCCCTGCGGAATTCATATAAGAACTAAAGTTCTTATCTTAAAATATAGATCAATAATATCTAGATAGAGCGTATAAAATATACAATTGATACGACAAATATGGCCTCTTTTAAAAATGGTTCGACTCTTTGAAAATATAAAATGTTAATCTTACAACTAGTAAATTTTATCACACAAACTATTATTTTATTTCATTATTTTACTTTAAAACTTTTACTACACTATAAATCCGTCACTCAGCAATTGATTAACCATTTTTAAAACGTTTATGAACACTCGCTCCATCTAAAATTATATGATCTACAATGTCATACATTTTTCAAGCAATGTTGGAACTAAATAATTTTAATTAGCTTCTGAAATATTATTCAGCATTAAAATATAAAAACAGCAGTTACATTAAAATTTGGACGTGTTTTTTTACATTCACAACATTAGCATTAATATAATTACTAATATATAATTTGAATCACTGGTATTGTTTTAAGAGCGTGTCCTCTCATTGGAACTGCGCTCGTTTCTAATTTTAAAACTTTCAAAATTTATTTTATATTAAACGTAAAACATTAAAGTGGTTAGTAATAACCAATTGAAATTTTTCATTGTAACAAAGCATTAAGTAGTATATCATTGAGCAATAGACATTATCCTTCCACGTTCAATACAACCATAACATCTATATTTTGAACAGGCTTAGACCTGAAAGGTGTACCAATATGAAACCTTTATATGCAGTTAATAAATTTGAATTATTTTATTCTCGGGAAATTCGAAATATAAAAAAATCTATTTTCTTAAAGGAAAAGTGCGCAGGCGCAATAATGTACAATTTAAAATTATATTCATATACTATCTATGTGCCGGGCTTAAACCTTCGTTAATAAAGACAAAAAGTGCTAAATTTGTTTAATCTGGTTATATTTCTACCGAATATGCAAACCCGGTCTTCCATTCACGAGTACTTGATTAAATAACATAGGAATGTCTTTTACATTTATACTATTCATTTTGTTTCAGATTGATATACATTTAGGATCTAGCCGCAAAGGTGGTATAAAAGATACTGTATATGAAAGATATAGAAATATAATAGAAATAACAAGTTCTAAAACATATTATCTAAGCCATCGATTCTCAGTCTCTCTTAAGGCTAACATTATAACAAATTTTATATTGTAAACATTAGAAAAATACAAAAGACTCGGTTTGATAGACCACATAGTACTAAAATTAAGGATACGATTTGCATCTATATTGATGACAGATAAATCTAAGGACCAATGCCATCAGAATGTTATTGAAAAATCTTTAACAAACAAGCCATAAAATATTTATAAAAAGAATCTTTAAAAAGAAAAAAATATCTATAACAAAATATTTTGGTCATTTTTTAAATTTACGATTTCGTGTTCTAAATTCAAATATTTTCATACCGATCCTACGGCTGTATTGCCACCTGAAAATAAATGCCATGACTATTCTCTATATATAGTAAAATTATTTTTCTTAATATTTTATTTTTATTTTTTGCACTGTAACGGCATTTGCTTATACTCTTAGTTTATCATTATGAAACTGGTGTATTTGATAATGCCCATAATAACATTAACCGCTTTTCCCTCAAAAGAGTACTATACAGTCTACATACCAAACAACCGTACTTAAAAACTTACTTAATAACAAATTTGGCTCAACATGAGCCGCGTAAAATGTTGAAATACATTCAACAAAATATGTATAGGCAATTTATAAATATTTTATATGTATATATCTATTCCGTGAACATTGTCGTGAAGGCACATAAATTTTGTACTGTTTTGTATATACCTAAAAAACCTGGTAAAGGTTGTATTGTGTATATTTATTTTTCTATATTATATAAAAATGGACGATCTGCATGTTAGAAATTGACGTACTGCAACACCATCTAGTGGCGAGTTAGAATACGATTGATAAAGCTAAAATATATTGTATATATATTATTATATATATATATATATATATATATATATATATATATATATATATATATATATAGTGCAATTTTAATATATTTATATTTATATACAATATTGCCACCTACTTACGAACTACAACAATGTAAACAACATCACAAGAACCTCGTTTAAAATATGTGTCAAAGCGCGTCTTAATCAATCGAACGGCGAAGTCTATCAAATATACACACATCCATTTGTATATAATATATATTGAATAAAAAAGTATTTGGAACTTTGAATGTTTCTGAAGAAAAATATATATTTACAATCTTATTATCTATTTACATGGCACATACTTTTCGTTTTAAAATATAATTTATATTTTTATATACTTAACACATTTGAAAACTATATAAAAATCACTATAAAATGAATAATCGCCGTTTTAGTAAATCTTATCAATACATTTAATTTACAATTTTAAAATGGCACTGAGTTTTATTAGCTACCTACATAAACAATTATAGTTTTAATAATCACATAATAAGTAAGTACTGGGATTTGCGTAATAAGGCAAATATACTAATAAAATATTCCATCATTAAAAGTAATCGTTGAAACTTCATTACTATATCATATTATAAAAAAAATACAACACATGCATACATATAAATAATAAAAATTATTTATATGTATGAAATAAAAAAAAAAAACTTTCAATACATCAATATTATAAAAACAAACAAACAAACACATCAAAATAACTGAGATTCCTTCAATATATTATTTTAAATTATATTTAAATTTACTGTATTAAAAAAAATTCAACTATTTTAACTGATATTAAAATGCATATTTTTTTATTAAATTAAACCTTTGTAAAACAATATAGAATTTTATTTCATTCAAATAAACCCTCTAGAGATTTAATTGGTAGGTAGATACCTACAAAATAATAGATTTTCTCTTCTGTATACACATTCTTCATAAATATATTAGCGTTGAGTGAAAAACACTCATAATAAAAAAAAAATTGATACTAATTCACAAGCCATTAGAGACATCACTACGACAAAAATATGTAAATAAATATCTTAAATCTGCCACATCATCGTTTAAATTATTTCTGTTCATTACACTGTAAGCAACAGCACGTCATATTTGAACAATAAAGTTCTGAATCGACAATATACTACTTGGCAAATAACATTTTGAATATTAGCATAAGAATTACGCTTGACGTATTTTATAAGCGAGTTATTTACCGAACTTCACAAACTGACACTAAACAATTAAAACATTACACTCCAAACTTGTTTAGCTCGAGCTGCGAATAAGAAACATGTCTCATATGATAGCGTACTCCCGAAAATAAACACTTGTTATTCAGCCATCACTCAGACAGACATGTCCACGTGTGTTTAGTACAAGTCACATCACACTCGTAATATTCACTCATTCAAATGTAAATCAACTTTTGAAAATTCAATAAAATTTATCTTCTTCCATATCCAAATTGCTTTTATTGTTGGGTTGGTTGGAATGCCTCTTCAGTGTTCCCATAGAGTCATACTCGTTGGCTATCGCCTTCGGGTACAACTTGGGTGTAGTCAATGCGTTGTTGTGATTGTTTGCGTTCGATATGTTGTTACTTTTGGATAGTAGGATGCCGCTGGATCCACCGATCCCGGTAAAGGACGGCTGACGTTTTGCTTTCCGGGGCTGTAGAATGAAAACTAAATTAATATCCTATTTTGAAATAAATTAGGTATCGAACATTTACACAAAACAACGTACGTGTCCACTGTTCTACGATGGTTATCTTTAGTTTTTTTTTTTTTTTTATTGTGTAATAATGGAATGGTAACCCCGCCTGCGTTATCGGTATTCAATGCTGGGCACCAGTGAGTAATGATATATATAAGGATTAAACAGGTCAATTGGCCCATAATGACGAATTCATACAGAATTAACCAAGATGGTTTCCATAGGGAACCGCGTGGAGGTCGACCTGATAACGTATATTGCTAGTAATGAGGCTGTTCGATCCCTAATAATCACTTTCTGCCCGGTCATCTGCAGTTAGTTAGATACATAATGTACTGACCACATCCTTGAGCGGCACGGTGACGTAGCTGTTCTGTGTGGCCGTCATATAGTGCGGGCTGGAGGGCACACGGGTCGACCGCCGCCACCACCGCTTGCCGCCGGAGCCCACGCTGCGTCGCCACAACAATGCACCCATCAGGGACACTACGCAACCTACGGGAACACACGTCTCTATATGAAATATATTAAACATAATACGAAAAAGTTTGTAACGATAGATGAATAGATAGATGCTTGTTACTCTTTCACACAAAAACTACTAAACAGATTTCAATTAAATTTGCTACACGGGCAGGCTATATTCTAATTTAGCGTAAAGGACACTTTATATAGTGATTTGTGGATGAAACCGCGAAATACGCCTAGTATTAAATATTATTTACTTTCAGATCAGTTAGACTATACTTGCTTGCAATCTAAAAATCATGGCATAGACATCGGAAGTTTTAAATTCAAATTTGTATCGTATAAAAATGATTGTCATTTGCATTATGTTATGGTACACATGTAAAGCCACGGTTCGATGCGTCACGTCAGAGGAGAATATAAAGGGCGCAAAAAAATACCCATAAACAAGCAAGCAAGTAATAAAACATATATCTATGCCACGAGCAGCTGGTTGATTGATACAAATAACAAATCACTCCAAAATATTTTAATCATGAAAAATATTCTAATAATCATCATGATTATTAGATTGACTTTCGAACTGGTCAATTTTGGCGAGCGATTTTTCTAAACCTATCTTTAAAATTAAACATCGAATCTTATTCTAATAACCTATATGAACTAAATTTCAATTGACTCAAGTCAGAATTATTACACATTTAGTTTATGATGGTCCGTTAAACAGTAATTTTACGAAACTATCAAAATATTACATCATATGTTTAACCATTATTTCTATAAAATAAATATTACATTAAGAGATTAATTTAAAGAATGAACCCCAATGAATATAGTTTCTTTTAAAGTTAAAGCCTACTTAAATACCATCTGTCATTCGTATCATGCTAACTTACAAAATATAATCTAAAATAGATTTATAGTACAATTTCTTTTCAATAAATATGCAATGATAGAGATGTAAAATGCCACAAAACTCACTATTGTATTAATCTACATCTACAACAATAAATAATTATTAATATTATTATATATAAAATTAAAATAAAATTAATGAGCAAGGTACGTAAAATTAATTTGAGAAATCAGTTCATGGTTTAATATGACTGACCTAAAAATGGTAAAAATTTTAAAAATAAAAATTATAATTATTATTGGGCATTTATATTAAAGTTTTTAAATTAAGTAATATTGCCTCCTGTAAACTTAACTAAAATAAATTAGTAAATAATAATATATTAATAATGGTAGCAACTGATTTAAAGTATATTTGAATATGGACATTCAAACTTATTACCGGGTTATTCAGTTACAAGGCAATGTTATTTTTATTCTACAACCATAAAAATATATTATTTTTAGAAAGATTAACTACCAACATTAAGAAATTAGTCCTTAATGTCATAAAACATTTCAAATTCAGTAACATTACAACTTTTTTTTCAAAGTTGGTTAAATTTTCCAAATAAAAAAAATGTGGTCAAGTTGTGCCTTAACCATTTTATGTGTTCCATCCTTGTCAAGGGGAGTGCTAACCGTCTCTCCTTTCAATAGACACAATTGTATAAAACAAACATTTTCTTTATATACTAACTTAACGGTGAATTTTGATAGCGCGATTCAGAAAAACAACATTTTTATATAAAAATTAAATGAAGATGTACAACTTGGTAAACTTAAATAGAAAATAACTATAATTCATCATTACATTTAGTACAATGTTCACAAAACATTAAATCAATATATAAAAGCAGTTTTTGAAAATGTATTTATTTTAATAGTGTTAACGCCATCTATCGGTGACTATCAAAAACTTTTAAAACAATGTAGAAGTTTTTTTTTTTCTAATAAAATATATATTTTATATGAATGTATTTGTTTTCCACACACAACTTGTTACAAGTTTGACTGCATCTACTTACCAACAAGAAAGGCAACCGCTATGTAGCCGGTGACACTGGCCGCACTTAGCGCTTCGTTACGTGGCGATGAAGCGAAAGACACCAATTCTGCGTTTTGAGTGTACGCAGGCATTGCATATAGCTCTGTGAATAAGAGAAGGAATTTATTTAAATAGAAATTAAATCATATGAAGACCAAGTATGATTTCCGAATAAAAAAGAAGTCTTATCTGACATATGCAAAATTTTACACAATGATCCATGAGTATGACCCATAAATAAACCCATCTCAACTGCGACCAAACCAGTTATATTCATTTAAAAAAAAATTAACTACGGAACCAATAAAAAAACTGAATTTATAAAATTTTATAGGACCAATCTTATACATCCTTTCAGATAAAAGAAAGAATTTTCCAAATTGGTTTAAAGCAATACAACTGAATCGAGAACCTCCTTCTTTTTGAAGTCATTTGAAAACTCAAAATCATAATTGAATTTGGGACTTCAGTCTTCTTTCACAAGGAATACGTATAGTTAATTTTTATACTTGAATTAATTAGAATCTTGACATATCTATTTTTTTTTTATACAACTTAGAATGGCAAACAAGCTGACGGCCCACCTGATGTAAAGTGGTAACCGTCGCCTATAGACATGAGCAGTACCATGGACATAACAGAGTATACTGTTTCGCCCATGATAGCCCCCATGCGTTGCCATTCCTGAGGACTCAAGTGTTATTTCTCTGTACCAGCAAACAGAAACACAGCCATGCAAACACAACTGCTTCACGGTTGAAACACGAATAGGACAGAGGTACCCAAGCAATCGACTTTTGTACAAAGTCTCCCTCTGGTGATATTTATGAAAATAATAATGCATAACTACGCAAGAAAGAGTTAATTCTTCTGCCTTAATTTGATAACTATTTCCGACGACGTTGCTCGTTTGAATCAGTATACAGATGCAGGGAACCTACCGTTGTCCATGAGGTCGTCATCGTCAGCGCAGCGCGCGACCTGCAGCTGCGGCCCGACGCAGCGGCCGCCCGGGCAGCTGCGCCGCCGCACTCGCTCGCCCTGCATACACTCCGACCACTCGCCCCACTCGCCCCACCCTGATTCTGGACACGTGAATGTTACTAGCTATAATTCGTGACTTCGCTTGATGAAATTCTGAGTTTTTTTAATGAGTAGTGATAAGATTGTAACCCCACCTATGCTATCGGTATACTCCTGATATATCCATATTGCAATACGAATGTCAAACCCCATCACTAACAATCTCCCCCCCCCCCCCCCCGGCATAAAATTATGGTTGTAACCTCATCTACTATGTAATAAACCCACAAATCTTAAAGCGTAGGGGGGAAATTAGTAATGGAGACTGAGAATCCCCTAGCAATATACCCAACCAGGTCATAAACTATCATGGTTAATGATGAATTCATCATGATGGATTAACTGGCCTGTTTTCATTCTCATCTATCACCCTTCACTGGTGCTCCGCCAGCGTATCCCGTTAGCGCATACCATTTTCACCCATCAAAAAACAAAAACTCTTAAAGCGTAATAAAGGACAAAGTTATGTTGATTTAAAATTATATAAAAGAATTACGTAAATCAATATTTATTATAAGTCTAATTGATTTGTAGCGCATTTTCACTGGGTAGTATAGTCGCATGCAATATTTAAATACTTATACTATATTACATTTAGTACCTTGTCATAATAACAAATAATTATGATAATGTCTAACTCATCTTTATTCATAAAATCTAAAACTTATAAACATATTTTACCTAGAACTAAATTGGTCCGTCACTTTCTTTCAATATTGAAAAATTAAAACAAAATAAAAAGATAGAACACTTCCATCGCTTAAATAAATTTATTAGACATATGTTCTTACAAATAAAGGAAGTGATTAGAAAATTGACAATAATATTACTAGTAGTAGATAGAAATAGTACTACAGTATTTATACATCCACGGCTTTATCCATGTGAATCAGTAAACATAAGTTTTGTATCAAACATGTTTTTGTAATGTGGTCAATAAATAAATATATTTGTATACAAAATAACTAGTCTATTAAGTTAGGATATAATCTACTTGTGTATGAAATTTTATTATAATCTATTCAGCTGTTTAATTGTGACTGTATAGCAAACATATAAACATGTTTAAAAACTTTTTTATTTATTATATTAGCATGACAGAACACGAGTGTACAAATACATAATAATAGTTATACATAAAAATAGTCTATTGTGGAATGCTCTCGCTCGGCTATAAGCAGAAGTAGATGGAGACGCATTGCGAGGACATCAATAGCGAAAGAGAGCCTCATCGACGATCCACTATCATTATGAAAACCACGAGCACTCTGTGAAGAGTGTACGGGTGATGAGAGAGTGTGTAGTTGTAGTGGTACCTGATGTAGCGCAGTTGGAGATACAGACGCGGCGCTCGAGCGCGGCGCCGGCGTGCGCGCAGCCGCGCGGCGACAGGCACATGCGCGTGCGATTGCGGAAGCCCGACACCGCGCCGCCCGCGCACGCGCCCGAGCACGCGCTCCACTCGCTCCAGCACGACCACTCGCCTGCACCAATTAAATGATAATCACTCCGCGAACACTTTGTAATAAATGAAACACGTACGTTCTCCATTGTATATCTCTATAATACAATCTATGCAATCTGACACCTACATACAACATTGTGAAATATCCACATTACATATGTATTAGAAGGGGTGGGGGAATATTACTAATGCCTAATGATTACCAGTCTCATTGCTAGCAATATATCCTGTCAGAACTTCCCTGGAAACCATTGTGCTAAATTCCAAGCGTATTCATCACGATGGACTGACTGACCTGCCTTTTTATCCTCACCTATCATGCCTCACTGGTAAAAAAAATTGTTTCAAACTTTAAAAAAAGCCCCACTTTAAATTTAAAAAGAAATCCAATTGTCAAAAAAAGAATATTACTGTGGTATATTACTGTGTACATTACTGCAGCGGCCAGCAACTGAGGCATTGATGGACGAATTCGCAAATGTGGGCCGAGGGGTAGCCGAGGCACACATACGTGAGTCCATCAATGCCTAGTTGTGGCCAAGATTGTATAGTACTTTTCTCAAACAATGCGCGGAAATCATAAACACAATTTTATTTTTTAAGTTCAATGACGAATAACGAACAATAATAATTTTTCACGCGCCATGTTTGTTTTTTTTTTTTTCAATAAACAGCTTTCTATTTGCAAACCAGTTCGAAATTTAAATAAAATATTTTATTAGTTATCTCCTTGGTAGCCATGTTTCGAAGTAAAAGATCATTCCATTTTTAAATTACAGGTCAGATATGAGTTTACATAGTAATTTATCTGGCCGCAAAACACGATAGATATGGCTTTTCATACAATTTTTGCCGGCCGCTGCCCGCATGTATCTGGCCAGTACGGCAATTTTGATTTATCTCGAAGAAGACTGTCAAAATAAGTCAAAATAATACTCACATTTCCAAGCATGTTTGAGAAAAGTATCATACATATATGTATTAAATAATTCTAAATGAATCTGACGTTACATCCTTATAGGGAAAACCTGTACCACGATAATGTATACAGTGCAAAGCGAGACGTGGACGGATCGTACCCGAGCAGGCGTGCAGGTTGCAGGGGCGCAGCATGTCTGCAGGGCCGGCGCAGGGCGGGCGGCGGCAGCGGCGCTCGCGGCGCTGCTGGCCGCCGCCGCACGCCGCCGAGCACGCGCCCCACGCGCCCCACGCCTCCCACGGGTCGCCGTCCGCGCCCCCCGCGCCCCCCGCACCCCCTGCACCACCCGCGGACGAACACGCGCCCCGCGCCGTGCAGTACCGCGCCTCCTCACGCCCCACTGACAGCTGAAATAGTAACAACAAATATTACATACATACATAATGGATCTTTTGTGAAGAGAAAATAAAAAACTATTTCAATGAACTCTTAGTACACATAGAGTATGTTAGATATGTGAGTAGTAACTAAACACGTACAGGTGGCTACGTCCACCTTTATAAGATCATCCACCTCATTTATTAAACCAGTGTGCAACCGACCTCTGTGTTCACTTGTCGCATACCTAACTTAGCAAAATGCAATAGAGTATACGAGATAATTTTATTACTAAGAAATCTATTGCTATTTATAAGTATTAATATCACATAAATATAAAAAAAAATGCTTATGACTATGAATCTTAAGGTAATAATAAGGTGCATTTGTCGTAAGTTATTCGAGAATATTTCATCCAAATTTACAGGAGAAATACCAGCGAAAAATAACGGCAGTATAGCCACCTCTTGATTCTAACTTAGATATACTCCTTAGTCTAAGTTCAAAATCGACTTTGTTTATATAAGATAAAAGATATAAAATGTGTGCAACCCGAACTTTGTCAATAATTTATCATAGCATATCTGTTTAGAACTTTAAACGTTATTAAATAACACACATCCAAACTTTTCTCCAAACTCATACTGATAATAATAACTTCTACTCACATCTATTTGTTCCGATGGTTGAACTTTACAGACAAATTTGAAACGCCTCTCGACATATCCCCCGTCTGAGGAATTATCTGTAAAAGAAAATCGATTCTTAATCTCTTCCTATACAATAGATAACTATAAACTATACGTCTTCAATACTATTTTCTCAAACATGCTTAGAAATGTGAGCATTACTTTGACAATCTTCTTCGTATACATAAATCAAAATTGCCATACTGGCCAGATACATGCGGGCAGCGGCCGGCAAAAGTTGTATAAAAATCCATATCTGTCGTGTTTAAATTACTATGTAAACTCATATCTGTCCTGTAATTTTAAAATGGAATGACCTTTTACTTCGAAACATGGCTACCAAGGAGGTAACAAATTAAAGGTTTTATTTAAATTTCAAACTGGTTTGCAAATAGAAAGCTGTTTATTGAAAAAAAAAACAAAGGAACATTATGGTGCGTGAAAAATTATTATTGTTCATTATTCGTCATTGAACTTAAAAAATAAAATTGTGTTTTTTATTTCCGCGCATTGTTTGAGAAAAGTACTATACAAGCCTTAGCCACAACTAGGCATTGATGGACTCACGTATGTGTTGTGCCTCGGCTACACCTCGGCCCACATTTGCACGTTCGTTCATCAATGCCTCAGTTGCTGGCCGCTGCAGTAATGTACTATTGTCACCTAATATAAAGTAATTAAATCACAATTTATCTCAATGGTTAATAATATTCAACAGTAATAAAAAAATTGTGAAACTTACTTGGAATTTGCACCCAAGGCGACCAAGCGGTGGCCTTTTTCTGATGAGTCTGACAGGGCCGCAGGTCGCATTGCTGACGCTCTATCTTCGAGCCATCACAAGGGGCGCCACCGTGCCTTGGCATCGGCTCTGTGCAACTACGACGTCGCTCACGAAACCCAGGGCCGCACTCGGACCCCGGGAGGGAACTAGCGCATTCGGACCATGGACCCCATGCTGACCAACCTCCGTCTACTGGCACCAGATTTGGATCTAAAATATTGAACAATGTTTATATACTTAATTGATATTATAATAACAACAAGTATGCTATTATTACAATACAATGTCTGGTAGACGTAGTAATAATTATTACCATTAAGAAAATTAAGAAAGATATAAAGAAGTAATTATAATTACTTCTTCAAATCTATACAAAAAACTGTACTGTACAGGTGGACAAGCTAGTATGGTCACAGTTATAACTGGAACTATATAAATATACATGAAAAGTATGCGTGCAAACTACTTTAGAGCTGTAAAACTCATCAGCACATCTGCTTTTATGCTTTTATATCTGCATATATGTAATACTGTTATTGTTAATTCGACTTCACTATAAAGATATTGCAATTTAATATAAATTGAATCAATTTTGGCTTAAATGAAGCTGGATAGGACTGTATGTAGTGATATTTATTTAAGTGAGCATGCAAAAAAAAATTTGATTGCTTAATAAGAGATTTATTAATTGGCAATTTAGCACTATACACACGGAGATAATGTGTCGCCCCTCTTAATATAAATTAATGTATTAATATTCCGCAACAAATTGAAATGAATTTGGTCTTCAGCTAAATTTCGATTCAAAGTTTTTATGTGACATTTAAGTATATAGAAAAATTTTAGAAAATTGGCTTAATCATTATAAATACTTAATATTATAATAATTAAAAATATATAATATAATAATAAATAATAATATCAATGCATGAATGTTATCACGGGTATCACAGTGCATTCTATGTGATTTTCACTGATAGCCACTTTCTATCAGATAAACTACGTATATATCAGCTTATTTTCAATTCTAAATATTATAAAAATAATTTACATCCGTTTGTGTGTATACAGGCACGTACCCGGACATGGCGGCAGGCTGGTGCAGTACATGTACTCCGTATCGAGTCCGACACAGACGCGGCCTTGATGTCTGGGCGCGGGCGAGCTGCAGGAGCGGCGGCGGGACTTGACCGCAATACCGCAGGTAGCGCTGCACTCCGACCAGCCCGACCACGCCGACCAGCCGCCGTGCACCGTGCAGTTCGTCACCGATATACTCACGCCTGGAGAATACCACGTGCGGTTTATTCAACACATTATTTCATATACAGGGTGTAAGGGACAGGTTGGCAAAAACGAAAACAGTGAATTCAGACCATTATTCTGAACTGAAAACCAGTGGAAATTCTTTCTGGAAAATTTCCAAATTTTCTCATGTTTTTTCATTTAAAATCATGTAATGTACGATATTAAAATATAAAGAAATAGTAATATTTTAAAGTGAAATATTATAAAATACTAAAAAAAACAGCAATGTCAGTCAGATTTTTTAACCAATCTTATTTTGCCATAACTATTATCTCCTTAAGGTTCTTCTCTACCTTTTTTCTTTCCTTTTCTTTAAATTAAAAAGTTAGATAATATTTAAAAAAAATGTACAAACTTGTCATTATAATTTACCTTTACAAAGCTGTCCACCATTAGCTGGCTTAGGGTTGTCACAACGGCGTGTCCGACACAAACACATGTCCGCCGGTTTTTCGTCTCCGTTGACAGACTGCGACGTTCCATCTTGCATGCATTGCTCCCATTCCGACCATGATGACCAGCCACCGTCAACTGTATAGTAAAATAATTCTCTTTTTATAATGTATTAGATTTCTGGAAAATTATCGTATATATAACAAACATCGTGTATCATGGCGTATAGAGTACATAATAAGTACGTTACTTAACATAGGTACATTAATGGGATTGAAAAATATAACTTAATTATAAAAATACATTTACACTAGTCATTGAAAGTCTTGCCACTAATTTAAATTAATAATATTCAAGTTTGTTTAGTTTCTTTCAGGAATTGATATGAGCGGTTAAGTCATCAGGTTGGCCATTAGCTCGTTATTCTATGTATTACAAAAAAAATCAGTGAAAAATAGCTTAAGATAAAGGTAGCTTCATCAATAGATTACTAGTCGTTTTAGGGTGGGGGGGGGGAGAGGCGGGGATTTTTTTTTCTTAATTGGCCATATTACAAAAAATGTTAGGTTCGAAAAGTATGATTAGGTAGGGTGCGGACCTGGCGGCGCGGCGGGGCAGGCGGCGGTGTCCTGCAGCAGGCGCGGGTCGTGCGCGCGCTCGAGGCGCAGGCAGAGGTCGCGCGCGTCGTCCCACGCGCAGTGCGGGTCGGCGGCGCCCACGCAGCCCGCGCGCGCGCCGTACCGGCCGCAGCGCGCGCCGCCCAGCCGCGCAACGCCGCGCGCCGTGCCCACGTACACCGACATCTGCGCACGCGCACGCACACGCACACCTCACTCGCACGCCTACGCGGAATACACGCCGCAACTACCCACCTGCGGCGTGTATTCCGTCTTTCGACGTTCGGTTTGTCCAATTTGACTCATTTTTCATCAAAAATTAACCACAATTCGAACGAAAAATAAGTCAAAAGCATACCATTACTGTACTATTGCAAAATCTATAATTTATACACAACGAACCCAAATATAAGCTTCGCGCGAAGATATTGTTCATAATACGGTTTTTATACATCCTCTAAATAATTTTCAAATTAAATAGATGCTTAATCTGGAGAATGGTAATCGTCACATACATATTTATATGCTGTGTTTACAACTTTCCAAATAAACGACAGACTGAGAAGCTTAATGTAAAGTAAGTAACTACTGAGTGGCTCAATCATCTTGCGAATTTCACAGCATCAGATGAAATACTATGACCCATTACATAAATTAAACATTATTATGTATATAAAACGACAGGAATTTAGAAAAAAAAAATGGCACCATTACATAAACGTGTCAACAAATTATATTCCAAAAAAAAAACGAATTATATTGTGACAAAACTAATTACTTTAATTTAAAAACTACTGAAACAGTTTTGATAAAATGTATATGGGACCAATCTGTAAGTATATCTTTTCAGATAAAAAAAAAATCTAAATTGGTTTACAACTGACAGAATTACGAGTTACCAAACTCTAAATTGTGAACTTTCTGAAATCAATTGAAAAAATTAATTGCTTTAAAACCAAAAATGGAAAATATTTCTTATTATATTTTCATAGTTATATTCAAATACTTACAGTTTCTTTCACAAATTGCATAGTTTGTATTTCGAAACCGTCCTTCACGTCGCTCAACTTCCAAACTTCCACCAAACACGCGCCATCGAAGCGCGGCAACACTGCTAACTTTATTATATCTCCTCTTTGCGTCGCTACGAAAACCACGAACTGCCTGCCAGCGTTCTTGGTACTGGTGACGTCCACTGTCACGTGAGTGAACCGTTCCAAGGTTTTCTTGTACACGGGCTCCCCAGATATAGGCAACACTGACTCGTACATCAGCTGATAGCGGTAGTATTCTATTGTTTGATGGGGTCTGTGGAAGAAATATTACTGTAATTGCAACAAAGGTTAACATTATATTACGGGTATTATTTTGGCCTTAATTTAGTAATTTTTTATCCTAATTTAGTTAAGTTATTTTACGTTTTATATTAGTGATTAACCACCTAACACTGCAAGTTAGAGATAGACATAGACATAGACTGACCCAGGTTTAGAAATTTGTAATCCCAGATGTGCCCATTGTCCCTATTATATTTTTATCCCTACATTTTTTCCATTAAATATTTCTATAATGAATTCGTGATAATAATTGTCAATATCTGTCAATAAAATGAAAATCTGCATGAAAATTACCTTAAATCGGGTTTGCATCGGAAGTGTTCCTTCGCTTGATTAGAAGGAGATCGCGGTTCCCAAGTAGAAGTGGGAGAGTCTTGCACTTTGAAAGGTCCCTCGAATGCGGCCTGGATTTCAGACATGCTATATATGCATATTGCACTTCCCGGTATACTGTTCCTGTGAAAAAACGTAGCTTTAGAAATAAATTTAAAATAAAAGAATTCAATATCTACAAAACAAAACTACTAATGATATAGACAATATTTTGCTTCTAAATACTAAGTGATCGACAACTAACTTCATACAGTATATTGTCATGATTGGTAATGAAAAAACAGATCTATAAACACGCAAATATAACATTCTATCTAATACAAAAACCTCTACCAGGGGTGTGCCTCTAGTGATCCGGATCTAGAGCCAGGACACATGTGAAACCTGTATCTCCGCAACAACAGTGTCCCTCAGACCCCATAAATCCTTCATCTTTTTCTACTAACTTCCTTTCCTCACTCCCAAAGTCTGCCTCCTTTTTTCCTCGATAGTTTCCTTCATACCGTTGATGGCGAATACCATCAACTAATGCATTCCCAAAGGGGGTTGATATCAGACAAACGGTCGATCGTAAAACTAAAAGCCAAAACTTTGGGTAATATGGATAAAAATATATTACACCGATCAGAAAATTTATATAATATATTTGGGATAAGAATTGGAAGATGATGATTTAATACAAGGATCGAAAAAGCCCGAAATAAATATAATATCATTGTCTGGCCATGGATGTAAACTAACCTTGTGGATCGTTAGCGACTTATTTTGAGAAAGCGAATTATTAAACAAATGCAAGTTGATTGATAAAGTAAATACTAAAATAAAAACAATAAGCCTCCCTTCTCAAAAAAGAGAGTATAAAATCCGTTTGCTTGTTGTTTTTAAATTTTTCAAAATTTTCTTTTTTATTTTGATAGAATCAATCTAAAAAATACTTACGCGGGAGTAGTGAACGTTGCAACAAGTATTTTTTCCTGCGGCAAATACTCGACGCTCTGCACCTCGTCGTAGTGGAATGGAACGTCCCCCTGGACGGGACATTTGAGCCGGGCCTTCAGGAACGTACTCCAATTGTTCTTGCCCATCACGTGTCCGCCGGAATCATTTTTGCACACGCGAGCGATACGCGAGTATATTATCTAATCATACAAATGTTAAAATTAGTATAAAAGATTGATGGAAGGGAATTGTCAATAATGAGGACCAAATTGCTAGCAATGTGCCTATATTCATTTCAGATTTCCTGGTTATTCACCACAATGTGCTGAACGGACTGCATCCTTGCCTATCATCCTCATTAATACCTTGTCAATGTAAACTAATGACATAGGCAGTGTTACCATCATTCATTAAAAATTATATATAGTCGTATTTTAAATGAATTAAGATACGATAGTAAAATATTATATTGCTTGCCCATTCTTCTCGACTGAAATTGCATTTCGAACTGGTAGGTTAATAAAAAAATTACCATTCAAAAATGCTTATAATTTACTTGGACAAAAAACAATATGTAACTTAGAATGGCAAACAAACTGATGGCCCATCTAATGGAAAGTGGTAATCGTCGCCTATGGACACATTTTTATTGTCGTCTATACTTTTAATTAGTTTTAACTTTGTTTTTAAAAGTACCTAATTTTTAATATTATGAATGCAATATTGGATTACTATCTATTATTTTCTGTATTTTACTCTTAGGCATATATTTCATTGGAGTTATAGCAAAAAAAATTTTGCATATATATTTTGTGGTACATTATAATGAACCAACCTTTCCACAATTCAAAAACTCGACGGCGATTTCCCGAAATACGAAATAGACGAAGTTGTCATCTTCGAAACTGCCAACGAACTGTGGTTCATTCAACCAATTCTGATCGTACTGCGTAGTGCGAAGTGTTGTCACATTGTGTGGACCCGCGCCCCGACTCCTGTGAAACCATTATCGTTTATTTATTTAAAGCAAACAGTCAGCTATAACAATACGTAATTATATATTTAAATAAAAATTGAATAGCCACTAAAGTTTGCACAAATGTATAATTTAAGTGAAGGGAACACAAAATTAAACAATACTATTGAAAACTACAGCAACATTGTCATACATAGTAATAATATGTGAAACAACCCTTTTGCTACCTTGTACTCATTAAAATAATGCTAGAGACTACTACTTTAATATCTCGTACAATAATCCTTTACGAATGACCAATACTATCCAAGTTTTTTTTTTTTTTTTATGTAACTAAGAAAAACAAACAAGCTGACGGGGCGTAGATAGTGCAGCGTAAGCGCGTTTAACCTGTGTTATGGTGTGTGTAAGCGAGTGACTCTTCTGTCGTGGGATTGACTTATCCCATAAGTCAATCCCATGACAGAAGAACTCACTTATGAACTAAGCATACTATAGTAATACAAAATAAAATTATTTACATAAACAAAATATTTTCTCATATTTACTGTTTCCTTTTTGATTCCTGAATTCTATACACAACTTTTAGCTTGGCAACTTATATCACCCTTAAACATATAATACCTGCATATAGCCGTGTCGGAACTTGTAAAGTCAGTAGGCGTTCCGGCGTAGTACTCCCCACTGTTGGACAGGATGGCAGTCACATTCGAATGTGGATTGTATGGACAGCTGGCGACACCCGTTATTTGGTGTGATGCGTTGCGGATGGACTCGATCTTTAACAGAAGCAATAAAAAAGCAATAGGATGGTTCATAGCTGTTGCAATTCAATTATGATTGGTTCAAACACTACTGTTAAGACTCATCATATCATCATATCAGCCGTTAACTGTCCACTGCTGAACATAGGCCTCCCCCCCTCGACTGCAATAAGGAACAGTCCTGAGCCACCTGCATCCTGACTGCCTGGAATGCATTTGCGGTCGTCGCTTATCTACTGCCATCCCATTGATGCTTCAGCTCGCTTATCCTTAACGAAAGCTTATATAAAAATAAGAAAACTCTACAACCAAGCAGTTTGCTTGCATGTTAGATCTCGATTTAAAAGCAACGCTCTAGTATATTTTGATTACGTATGTCGCAAAAATTAGTTTATAAAATTATCGCTTTGTACGATTGAACATGATATTGATCAGATGTACAAAGTGAAAAGAAAAAACTAAACTAATATATATGTATATATATATATATATATATATATATATATATATATATATATATATATATATATATATATATATATATATAATAGGCATTTTTTATGCCGGAACCACACGACAATGACACACATTAAATGGCATATTTATAAAAATACTATTTCCAAATATATTCCATTTACGAGTACCTTTTTTTTTTATACAACTTAGAATGGCAAACAAGGCTGACGGCCCACCTGATGGAAATTAGTAACCGTCGCCTATAGACATGAGCAGTACTATGGACATAACAGAGTGTACTGTTTCGCCCATAATACCTCCCATGTGTTGCCATTCCTCAGGACTCAGATGTTATTCCTCTGTATCCTGTAAATTCACGCCATATCCCACCCATCAAACTGAAACACAGCCATGCAAACACAACTGCTTCACGATAGAAACACGAATGGGACAGAGGTAACCAAGCAATCGACTTTTGTACAAAGTCTCAAAGTAACAATAATAACCACCCACCTCTCTCCAAGTGCATTCTGGGCTAAAAGCGTTCGTACCACACACGAACAATTTGTGTCCATATGATAAAAGAACTTTAATGTAGTTGTGACAGTCTTCCTCTGTTTGGCCCTTCGCTTGGCATAGTTTTATCTTGTTTTCATCTGCTGGCCAGTCCGCCTTCTCAATCAACCGGAGGCCTCGGAGCGTAAGTCGATAAAGTGCATCCCTGCAGAAGAAAAAAGGTTATATTAGGTACTGTTGTACAATTATCATTTTAGTACTCCATTTATGAAATAAAATTACAGGCATTTGCCCCATAAACTATTTCATAGATTAATTTTAAATAGCAACGATTTCATTTCTTGTCAATTCTCAGATGAACCTATTCATGGTATTCGATACAAATAAAATTTAAGGTACATAATAGATATATGAATTAATGATATATCGAATTTTTTTTAAGTTTTTAAGAGTAAAAAAAATTGCTAAATGAATTCGTAACACATTCAGCATTTTTTGTTCTTTAATTAATTTAAAAGCACTGAAAGCAATATTTGTCTTTTAAAAGCCATTCGATAACAGCTGTTAATCTTACGCCTGTAGTGTCTTCAGTAGAAAGATAAATCATTACTATTATCATTTTAATAGAACAAGAAGTATAAATGTCTCCATATATGTGGATTCTTCATGTTTACACATCCCATCAGTGATGTAGGAAAAGTATATAAAATATAACGAATTAGTAAAATGGAATTTGTACTAACCCATATATTTATTGTAGCCTATTTAAGTTTATATTATGTATGCTTTGTTACGATTGATTGACAAATATATGCAATCATAGCTGTGAAAACTTGCTTTGCAATGCAGTCTCGAAACAAGTGACATTTCTAAATATCTACATAAATCTCGGATATTAAGTGACCAAGGCGATCTCGATAGACAGTAAGGTATGAAACTTTATACGCTTGTGAATTGTACCGTTGTGGTATATCGAATAACTCTTGTTGCCACACTACAGTTCAAATGTAAATACGGTAGTAAAACATATAATCTTTGAAACGAGTAACTATAGAAACTTACAATAATAATATTTCAATATAAATACTCGTAAACGCACCGATGAAAGACGAGATATTTTTATTGACACATGAGATTTAATATATTTTAATTAAAACATAATCTTGTGTCTACATGTGTATCTCAAGGAATAGAGTTTTGCTGCGTAAATAAATCGAATATCGAACATGGATTCCATTTTTGCCAATTCGATTCATTTACGCATATAATAGTCATAAAATAAATATAGAACCGACACGGTAGTAAACCATATTTATTGTAAAAATCTATACAGAAATGGCAGAGATATTGCATATCTCACTAATATAATAAAATTGTAACTAGACCATATTTGTACTTACATGGGAAATATTTAAATTAATATGAGAGGTATTAAGCAATGGAAGCTAAAACAATAATTTTTAGAATGTTTTTCTTTCTGCCCATATGTTATCTGTACGCATAAAATATTACACCAAATTAGATGCTGTTTTCACAATTGTGTTTTTGAAGGTCTAACTTAAAACAAAGTATATGTTTTATCTTGATACGCCATCCAGAAGTGGCCTATTAGTTTTCCTACTTTTGAAATTTACACCTACGAAGTAGCGGACATAAAGCGGACATACTCGTATACTTATAAAAAAAATATAGTCAAAAACTTTATCCTTTTGTTCTTCGGCTTCGCAAGTATAAGATATACAGAAGGACTGTATTTCATTTTCGAAACGTTACTAAATAATAGTAACATAAGTAATATTACTATTTTAGTAAGATTTTAATAAGCTAATAACGTAACATTCTATAAAAGAAAGAATTTTTAAAATCGGTTAAGTAGTTTTTGAATTTATCTATTACAAACAAAAACTCAAGTCTTTTCTCTTTACACTTAATATTTGTTTATATAAAACAAAGTCATTGTTTGCGTCTGTATCTCTACTTAGTTCTAAACCAAGCAACGAATTTTGATAAGAGTTTCACTGTCATTTAGATCTTTTTTAAATATGTGTATATAAAATTTGCACCCATACGAAGTCACAAGGCTGGTCACTATTGAAAAATATATATAATTTATTGTTGAGTGTGATTATACTTATACTGTACCATATGGTAATACGATAGTTGATTTACTACACGGCAGTGACTGAGCGGATTATATACCGACCCTCAAAGTGGTCTTTGAATTACCAATACGTCTTGAGAGCGCAAAGGTTGTTGTACATACATAATTTATTTTTATTTCCTGGTATAATTTATTAACTATGTTAATAATTATATGATTGACATATGACAGAAATAGAAATCCAGTAATAATAAATATTTTATTTTATAATCACAGTATACTACTTATCTAACACTAGAGATCGATAGCGAAAATAATATATAGCCTATGTTACTCACTTTTTTTACACCACTAAGGTGGCAATCAAGCATACGGCTCACCTGATGGTATGTGATTACCGTAACAAAACACTGATACAGATGAAAGATTTTTTTTAAAATCAGTTTTTGAGTTTTTGTGCACATCCATTACAAACAAACAATCAAATCTTTCCTCTTTATAACATTAATATAAAATAACGATACAGAGATTGAAGACTCGTCCAGACAAAATCGTCGGGATAAAATTAGTATAAGACCAATACAAGAAGAAACGCTACCGGTTGCAAAAAGAATTATTCAAATCGCTGCTGAACTGCAGAATTTGCGAATATATCCCATAACATACAAAAATACAGTGTAAGCGTCCTTTTGATTGAAAATACTCGTTTGACTAATCTAAAATACCTATACACAGCCTAAATCGGTACAATTACAAACTTATTTGAATAAAGTTTCTTTTAAAGCGTAGACGTACACTAAGAAAAGATTTCACGAAGTTCCTACGGGAACAGTAACAACCTAATGAGTGACAAGTAATAGTTAGTTAACCTATAACACAGCATATATTACTTGCTGAATTGAGACTAATTAAAAATATAAGTAAAAAAATTTCTAATGAAATACAAATTACATTTAGCTATGTCCGATTAAAGTACTCGTAATGATATGCCATACCATTTGAAGGTTATGCTCGTAACTACCATTTTGTACCGAGTTCATTTGAGACACTAATTATACCTAACTACTAAATCATTCTTAGAAATCCTCTATACCTAGTTAATTAATGAGTTGTTACTTATTTAGATACTCAATAACATACATATATATATACTTGTAGCTATACGTATATGCATGTATGCATATATACATAACATCGATCATATTCATAGCTAAGTTTGGATGAACTTCACTGGTTCATATCGAGATAAAGTTTATCAGAAAACAGTTACTTGAAATAATGAGGGCACACATGAAATTAATATAATTAGTTACAATGGAGATTATTTGTAGGCATAGCAAAATAAATTATCAAAAGGCGAAATAAATTATTATAAAACAAGATAAATAAAACAAATTGTCATAACTGGAATCCCTGTAAGGTTTGCAATGTTAATCTCACGTGAAAATACGCCATAGATCCTGGCTTCTAGGGGAGTTAAAAAAACCACTTTAATTATACATATAGCGATCTAATTTCAATTGCAGAGTATATAGAATAAGTCTAATAATAATCCTTACTATACTAATATTATAAATATGAATGTTTGTTTGTTGTTACCTTATAGCGTCTTTACGGCTTAACAAATCACTGTGAAATTTGGTATCTATACAAGTACTATATAAGCAGGAGGAGGATATAGGCTATATATTTATTTCGATCAATAAACATATCCCGGTCACGTGGACGAAGTCACGGGTAAAAGCTAATAGTATAATAATAGATTTGAAGGGTGGAATATGGATGTGAAATTACAGGGTACGGAGGTATAACACTATGGTTCTCAAGCAATAGCAATGTTTGAGTGATACCATAGGTATTATAATATATTCTGTAATGTCCATAGTGCTATTCATATTTATAGACGTCAATAAAATGGTGTTTGCCATTCATTTGTTTATTATTTATTGAACACATTACAAAAAAAATATTAGTAGAAAAGGCGGACTTAATGCTATATAGCATTGTCTCCCAGTTAACCTTTGGCAAAATAGAAATGTAATTCTAATGTAAAGTCATTCTAAGTATCATAAAAAATAATCAAAAACTCGTATTATGATCCATGTAAAGCTGTTTTCTGACACTCCATCCACAGTAATTAAAAATTGAGGTAGAATTAGAAAAATGAGAGTTGTAATTGTCAGGCCAGATATTATTATAATATTCATATTATATTATTCGTGAGCAATCCAGTTCTTACGGTCCGGATGCTGTCCACTTACCAGTCTAGGCGAAAGTAGCGAAAATAATGTACAAGTGGAACTATTAGTATGTAAACGAGTTTAAAACTCTTAACCACTTGCGTACACAAACTGTTTTAATAGCAGCCAAGTGTCGGTGTATTGACATTCTGTAGCAAACAGTGATATTTCCTCCAGCGTTTGATCCTCACCGCGTTATTTACACTAGACAACCGAATTAGAGAGACCATTTGTGCAAGTTATTCCGGATATCCAGGTCGAATCTCACGTTGACCTGGATTGAACAATAAATGAAAGTTTTTTTTTTTTTTTCTTATTATTATATTTATTTTAACTTACAGTGCCCGCCACTACATGCACGTAAAGAGGGCATATTGATGGCCAGTATAAAAAAATAAAAAGCGATCAATCGAATTAGGGAGTCCATTCGTGCACGTTATTCCGAAAGGTCCCAATTGGAGACCGATTATCTTAATCAATTGAAGGACAAATAAAAGTATTAATTGGTAACAATATATTGTATTAGGTCGACCTCCGCGCGGTCTCCATCGAAACCATTGATTTCTGGTGAATTCAACACAAAGTGCAAACTTCAACTTCAAGACTTCATTCTCATCAATTACAATCATGTTACCGATATTTTCCTTTTTTTTTTTTATTAAAAAATTTTATACACAGTTAGATACTTTTTTATCGTAATATACGTGGGCAAACCCGCAGGATACAGGATGTAGATAATAAGAATCAAATTCACTTTCTAGAAACACAGGTCCCATTGTCGTAATCTTGAATTCCGTGAGCAAACAAGTATACAGGTGGTAAGATAAGCGTTCATACTTCACCATTTACTTGAATTACTCTACC